CAACAATGTAACCACATTAGATTTTGTAAGTGTAACAAAATTATTAATTAATATTTATTTTTTTAACATTTCTTAAAGACGCTCTCAAAACGTTGTACAACAAAAAGGTTATCTATTATTTAAACAAAAGTACTTATTGTATAAAAAACATCTTTCTGTATTAACCGTTATAGTCTATTATAGTTTAAAATCTTATTTTAAACATCCTGTGATTCAGAATGAATTAAGACGTTCCATTCTTCTTGTTAGTTAAATATATTTATTATTGTTTGAAATATTGCAAATAAATATGTTACTATTGATCATAAAACATCTTGCCGAATTGACTATACAGAGTGTTCATAAAGTATCGGATCCCCCCTCTATCTCAGAAAATACTAACTGGATAAAAAAATTTTTTATTTAAAGTTTTTTAGTATTTTCTGAGATAGAAGGAGGGTCCGATACTTTATGAACACCCTGTATAGTCAATTCGGCAAGATGTTTTATGATCAATAGTAACATATTTATTCACAATATTTCAAACAATAATAAATATATTTAACTAACAAGAAGAATGAAATGTCTCAATTCATTCTGAATCACAGGATGTTTAAAATAAGATTTTAATTGTTAGAAAATAGATAATATTTATTAAACTGAGTAAAAAGAAGTAAAAAAAAGTTCAAATTAACATGAATTAAAAATATAATTAATTTTGAAAAAAATATTCTATTACAAGTAAAGCTTCATAGATGACCTATGGCTTCTATAAATGGAGCGATGAAGCTTTCTACTACTACAGTTAGAACAACTTTTCTTTAATAATACAGATTAATGCATGAACTTTTATATAATTATACAATTGTATTTCTTGTTAGTTAAACGTATTAACATATTAGGATTTCATCATTAAAAGGTTTTAAAACCCTTCTTTAACTTACTATGATTAGATCGGTTTAGTAGAGAGATACGGTTATTCCGCCGAAGAGCATTATGTCACAACGGAAGATGGTTATAACTTGGTAATACATAGGATATCAGAAAGTCCTTTATTTAAGGATCAATACAGAAGAAATATTGTTTTCCTCCAACATGGTTTCTTGGCCACGTCTGATACATGGGTGTTGATTGGCCCTGACAGAGATCTTGGTGAGTGACCGTTCATGCATAATACTCGTACATTAGCCATTAAGAAATATGTTAATATAGGATTTATTTCATCATCTAATCAGTGATGTATCTTCGACCGAAACTTTTCACTTTTCACTTTCTATTCCTAAGTCCGTGTGAAACTGTTCGCAGCACATAGATTCATTGTTTCTATGTGTGAAATGTGAAATCATTAAATACGTACAGTACACAGATTAATGTAGAAATTAACGAATAATAAATAATGCTAACAACACAAACCACAGTGGAATTTTTAATATTTGAAGACATAGTTCTAGTCACGATATGGGATAGCCACATACACACTCATTCACATGTGTGCGCGCTGTGTATATCTATTTGGTTGAGATTAATAGGTCAATTCTAAGAAAAATCGTAAGGCTCGTAACTTGTACTTTTCGTGAGAATTTATGACTAAACTTATAATTTTAAAAAACAAATAATATATATTTAAAATAAATAGAATATGTAGAAATATGTTAAGATAAATATAAATATGTATCTTAATAAAGAAAAAATTACATTTTTATTAGAAATTATAACTACCAATAATTAATTCGACAATATCATTAAAAAAATAATTTTGTATTATTATCTTGTGTTACAGCTTTTTTATTAGCTGATCAAGGATACGATGTATGGATTGGAAACTTTAGAGGAAATTCTTACTGCAGATCACATATAAAAATGTCTCCACGTGATAAGGACTTTTGGCAATTTAGGTAAAATTTTATTTTACATGTACATTACTATTTTTAAAAATATTTTTTGCTATTTAAAATAATTTTTAGTTATATCTACATTTATCTTTCTTTTTCATTTCTTTTATTTTATCACAAGTTCGGATTCTATAATTTTTATTAAAAACAATTTTTTCTTAATAAAAAATATGAAGACTTATAATACTATGCATTAGGGTGAAGCGATTTCTTACCCCCTGTTGTGCATGTATTTTCGGAAAAGGTATAAAAAATGATGAATTTTAATGACAAGCGGAAATTTTTTAATTAATATCTACCCCTCCTAAAAAATAAAAAATCATCGTTTTTTCCATTTTTATTTTATTTCAATTAATCATCGGTTTATTATGGTACATAACAATTGTTTCATAAAAATAATTTATTACTGGAAATCTTTTTTTGTTTCAGTTCTTGGC